TTATTATTATTATTATTATTATAAATTCCACAGTAAACCACAAGGAATATCTATAATATATATATATATACATATATATAAAATATGTATAACAATAGGCATATCCATGCCTATTATTCAAATCTGCAAAATAGGCATCATGGTAAATTTCAATGCTCTGTTCAATTGTTACACAGTAGAAAAGTGATCATTGCGTTTGTAGAGTAATGATAATTCAGGTTGGTGGATGATAAGTAATTTTTCTGTGCGGTAAAGGTTGCATCTTTTGCTACTGCTGAGCAGGGTGACCTTGATGAAAGGATGCATCACGAAATAAAGTGGTCAATGTTATTTTCTTTAAGGGTCCAGATATGTTTACTGAGTTCGGTAGAGTTTCTGTGTTTTGTGTGTTAGAATGATGCAGTGTGGTTTCTGTATCTAGTCTTGAAGTCGTTTTCTGTAAGTCCAATGTATGTCTCAGTGGTGCTGTTGTCCTTACGTGTGACCATGGCTTGGTAGATCGGTGATGACTGGTGGCAGTTTCTGTTAAGTGGGCATGTGATCTTCTGTTGGTAGCTGCAAGTTTTGGTGTCTTTTGTGTTAGTGTTATCTGTGGTGTCATTGATGTGTTTGGATGAATTCAAAATGCATTTGTTGTGGTTGTCAATGATCTGTTTAGTGTTATTCATGCAGCTGTAACTGATTTTGATTGTGTTACAATTGAAGATTCTTCTAAGTTTGTGGTCTTTCAGGATGTGCTTGTCTACTAGGGAAAAGAATCAGTGTCTGATATTGGTGCGTACATTTTTGCTGAATGGGGTTGTACCAGAGTATGTTGTTTTGTTGTCGGCTTTTTTGTTTGTTAGTTGTGGGTGGTTCATAGAGTAGAGTGCACCAGTATCTGCATTCTTTGAGTGCTTATTGATATGGAGCCGCCCCTCCATATCAAAAAGCATTCATTGGGTGCTTGTTGATATGGAGGGGCGGCTCCATATCAAAAGGCACTCAACAAATGCAGATACCGGTCCACTCTTCACTATGAACCACTCACAACTAACAAACGAAAAGACAGACAACGGAACAACATACTCTGGTACAACCCCCCATTCAGCAAAAATGTAAGCACCAATATCAGACACAGATTCCTTGCCCTAGTAGAAAAGCACTTCCTGAAAGGCCACGAACTTAGAAAAATCTTAAATCGTAACACAATCAAAATCTGTTACAGTTGCATGAATAACACTAAACAGACCACCAAAAACCACAACAAATGCATTTTAAATTCATCCAAGCACATCAAAGACACCGCAGATAACACCAACACAAAAGACACCAACACTTGCAGCTACCAACGGAAGAAAACATGCCCACTTACCAAAAACTGCCACCAGTCATCACTAGTCTACCAAGCCACTGTCACAAGTAAGGACAACAGCACCACCAAAACATACATCAGACTTGCAGAAAACGACTTCAAGACTAGATACAGAAACCACACTGCATCATTCCAACACACAAAACACAGAAAGCTCGAGCTCAGCAAACATATCTGAACCCTTAAAGAAAATAACATTGACCTCTTTATTTAATGGCACATCCTTTCATCAAGATCACCCTACAAAAACTCAAGCAAAAGAAACAACCTCTGCCTCAAAGAAAAATTACTTATCATCCACCAACCTGAATTATCATCACTCAATAAACCTAATAAACACGTGTCCTCATGCCACCACAGAAACAAAGCACTGAAATTTCCCTCCATGCCTTTATGCAAGTTTGTAAATTATGTAAATGATGGTTATAAATATTTTTCTTAATAGAATCCCCTGATAAGAGAGTATTCACAAAACAGGCTTGTAGGGATGATATCTCATACATATTGCGCTCATACATATCAAGCACTGTACAACAGAAAAATTAAAACACAGACTTCCTATCTGTATATCTATGTTTAATTTTACCAGAGGTACATGTCTTGATAGTGAGCTCATGATATAGATTTTTAGCAAGCTACAATCAATCTGACAACTAACTTGCCAAGACTTTTCTCTTGTGTCATCTATTGTCCCCTGAGATGACCAGTAAAAAGTCCTAAACCATTATAGAAAGAAAGAAAGGCAAACTAAATAAACATCCCCTGTGAGTAAAGTTGTTGATGCAGACTCCTTAATTAATAACACACCTTGGAAACTCCACTCCACCAACAAGGAATTGTTAGTGGTCTCTGAGGATAATCTTGACTCCTATGGAAATTGCACTTTTTCAGTCATTGCTCCCTCACACTGGAACAATCTACCAGACTAAATAAGAACTGCAGCATGCCAAAGTTCCCTTAAGAGTAAAGTTAAGACCTTTTCATTTAGTCATTCCTTTTAGCTTTCAAACACCTCAGATTTGTTCCTAAATTAACAAATATTAACCTTATAGGTAACTTAATTATGTATTAGAATCTTTGAGAGGTGCTTTAGGTTAATTAGTTTGAATAACGATTATCATTACTATTATTATCATTATTACTATG